CAAGGAAGAAATAATTTTTTTAAATGTTAAGTAATATTTTGCAACACTCTGGTTTGAACTGCAACACTCTGGTTTTTGAATGCTGACAATGCAAGGCGAACCTCCTCTGTTTTTTACCCCTTGAAGATTTGTGATGTGCAAGTCTACAAAATCAACAATTACAGAACCCAATTTCAAACAACACCAGGCAGGAATACAGTCATTGGCAACTTCTTTTTCTGTCTAAAAATTAAACTGTTATGAGATAATAGATTCCTTATGTGAACTTCACACTCATGACTGGACCTTCTTTTGCTTGGAGAATGTCACAAAGTAGTAGTCTGAGGAGAGAAAAGGGACTATCTTCTCTGGCCTTCCAAAACTAAATAGTTGGCAGCACTTCAGCTTGGGAAAGGATGGGAAAAAAAGAGAGTGGAGGGTTGTTTTGAAGGTCAGGAAAATCCCAGTGTTCTGAAAAAGCATACTAAAGGAAGTCTTAGTTTTCATAGCAGGAGAGATGGAAAGCACTCAACAGTAGATCAGCTAAAAGTAAAAAGACTAAGTCTTTAAAATGTGCAAAATTGTGCCATTCATTACCAGATAGATAAAATTACTTCATCAGAGCTGAGTTATACTGTGAAAAACGTGGTTAATGGGTGATTCTAAAACATAGTGGTACAAAAGGTCTCTGGTTCAGGAAGTTTGTGTACTACTGATGACTAGATTAGATGACTACTAATAATTGGAGTTATTTGTCCACTGTGTTTTGTGTGTCTTTTTGCTGAACATCCAGTAATGAAGAAAAATACCAAATTACATATTTGGTACTTTTAGATAGAATCCTAATGTTTTCAGCACCCGATAAAGATTATGGCTGATTTAAGGGAGTTTTTCTGATCAGCCTGTGGAATGTTCTCTTGATTAGTTCATAGTTCTGCTTATGAACAATGTAAAACGTTTTGAGAATCTTTTTGTTGAAATGTAGATTCCAAATGTCACAATATTGCCTGCACTATTTTTTTTCACTTTACATAATATTCTAGCAGTCACATTCTGTTTATGTTTGGCGTTTTGCATGCATAGTGGATTGGTATGCAGAAAATGAGGAAGTTAATAATTCATCTTATATTATGACTGCACAAATGTTAGACACAGAGAGCTGTTTGATATAAGACATCAGGATATAACAAGTATAACTTGTGTTTCTCAGATTGGGTTTGCAGGAAAGCTTTTGGGGCTTTGTTTCATTTGAGTTTATTATTTTCAAGCAACTTGCTGACTTGGAAACTTGATGTAGTGTGATGTGATGATAGGTGAATAGCCAGCACCTTGGGGAGGGTAGGGAAGGAAAAAGTCTCAAGGTATGTCAAGCGAGACATTCGTATCAGGCCATTTAAATCTGCTGGACTAGTTAAAAGGCTATGCTCACATGAACTGAGTGTGAAAGTAGAGGTAGTTTGAAGAAAAGAGGGGGGAAAATCTTTCAAATGAAGATATGGGAAAAGTTGTTTTATTTTTAGTTTATTAAGAATATGAGATTGTATGTATGATTTGCATCTCAAATTGAAATGATATTTTTTTTCCCCAATTGAAGTAGAAAAAGATTGCCCTGGAGGATGAGTTGGAATAGTTTGATAACTGGTTCTGTAGAAAATCCTGTGAGTTGCACTTGTACCGAGGCCTTACAGTGAACTCTAATAAGCCAGGCTTCCTTCTAAGAAATTAAAAATTTCACAAGTCTTAGCATAAATAATGAACTTTATATGTTGCCCAGTTTCAGTTTCTTCAACATTCTGAGCTGAAATCAAGGTCCTTTAAAGCTGCTAGCTCTATACAGCTTGTGATTTGTCTTCTGAGCTCAGGAGCCCCTTGAACTCTATCTGGCCTTGGCTGGTTCTATGATTGAACTTTGCTTTGAGCAAAAGTGTTTCTTTCCTTCCTCACTTCTGACCTTTGTTATTGTGAAAGTCTGGATGTATATGTACCCTCTTGTTTGGGTTTTTTTTAAGTCCAGCAGCTTGAAAATTACAACAGATGAACAAAAGAAGCTGCTTTTGTCTTTCTAAATCCCATTTTGTGTTTGTGTTGGCATTGAACATACATGTAGGTATTAATTGTAGTGGGGATTTTCCTTCACTGATAGCAGCAATATAATTCTGGCCCAACTACCATCTCTTTTATAAGGGGTGCACAAAGCTATAAAAATATGTGTTTCCCCTTGTGGTTTGGCTGAGTCTGAAATGACCCAGGCTTTTGTTTGGAATTTATTTTCTATCTTAAGTTTGGTTTTGATTTTTTTTGTTGTTTGTTTTGGGCTTTTTTAAAAATTTCTCTTGGCTAGGCTCCTTCAACATATTCAAGGACCATTATTTAGCAGTTATTTAAATCTGGCATTGGTGCTGGGCTGGCAGTCAGTCAGGCTTCAACCCTCCCCCCAGGCTGAGTGCCCTGATCTTTGTTAGTCATCTTTCTTCTAATGTGTTGGAACAGCATCTTGCTTTTGGTTCTAACAAGCTATTGTTTCTTGCTTTGGCTTGCCACCTTATGGTTATGTTTTAGCTTGTCCATCTTCTCTATTTCACTTCGGAGAATGCTTGAGTTTCTTCTGTTTCTTTAAAGCCTCTCTATTTTAATCGCCACCTTTAATCATTTTCAATTACACTATTTTTTTTCTGTCCTTTCAGAATTTAAGTGTCTCACCACTTCTCCAATTTCCTAATATGTCCAACAGAGGAACACTTTACTCTTTCAGTTTCCTTATTTTTAACATGCTTCCCCTTTTGCATGTAGTTCCCCTGTGCTTCAGCTGATTGCCTGTAAGTTCCTGTATTTCTGTTACATGCTATATCTAGTGTGACCTGGAGAACTGATGAATTTTGGTGTAATGTGCTTGGCTGGGCTAGATCTTTGTGTCATTCTTTTATGGAACTGCTCTGGGTAGTACTGTCTGTAGCATGTCCTTGCTGGAGACAGTTGACATGGATGTCTATAGGGATGATTGAGTGCAAAAGATGGGAATAGGAAGTAATCTCAAATGGCTGGATAGACTCTGCTTCTTTCATCCACTTCTTTCTCTTCTTTTGAGGAAAATTAATTTTGTGTTGTAAAATACCAGTGATTTCATCTTGTATAATACAGATTACATATATTAATACAGATTATTATAATACAGATTACATATATTACATCACATATTGCATCTTTCATAATACTGTATGGAATACTATAAAACAGAAGTCTTGACATGCTCACAATACCTGATCTCTAACTCAGGTTGAACTTGGAAATGGATTTAAATCCCCACAGCATGGGGGAGTTCTTCATCTGTATTTTACCATGAGTCTGTGGGGTGAGGTATTATAAGAATCTTGTCCATTCTATTAAGGTGGTTTACTGATTTACAAATACTGCTGGGACACTTCATAGGAGGAGTGGATTGATGAAACAAGAACAGATCAAGCAGAGAAAATTTTAGAGGAACGGGATTTAATTGCTTAGATCACCAGTATGAGGCAATCTAATCTTCAACATTCTGCTTGTAAGATAACTTTTCTCTGTACCTAAATAATTTGGTTTAGTGGGCTTTGTCTTTTGTTTCTTTCTCTTTGTTTCTTCTTCTTAGGAAGGGGGAGGCTATTCAGCCAGGATCACTACCTTCTAATTCCTTGTTTTGTGCATAAATAGCTTATAAGTACTATCTGGTTTTTTACCACATTTGGTACTTTAGAGCTTGAATATTTATTAGTGAGGTGTTCTTCCTAAATGTTTGCCTTTCTCAGCCTCAAAGAGAAGAGAGAAGCCCTGATCAGTACCTTTAAGGTCTGGTGCATGTCCTATATGTCAGAGTCCCTGGACAGAAGAGAACTGGCTTATGTTATTTACCTTGCTATTCAAAGGCCTTGGAATGAGATTCTGAGGAAGAGACTGTTTGACAGAAATTGTTTGCATAAGAGGTAACTGCCATTACAGATCAAACTGCTTATAGTAAAGCAGAAAATTGAATGCAGAGTTTTCATCAAAGCCAAAATTAGTGTGGCAGACCTCAGGGTTTTGCATCAGTCTTGCCATTAGTGTATATGAACTTCACATATGAAAAAGGTTGTTAGCAGTATGATAGGCAAACTGTAGATGAAAAGAATTAAGGTAACTAAACAAATTTTGTGAAGATTTCATCAAACTAGAAAAAGCTGCATAAAGGAGATAATGCTCCTTACTATGATAAGTAAAATCAAGTATAATAAAAAATGTGGCAGATGAGTAGCTTATATGGAGCTATGTTGGCTTTCTAAATTGCATCTTATGTTTGTACACTGAATTCTTAAAGTCTTCTTTCACACCACCTCTTTCTGTCAACTTTGCGGCAGCAAATACGGGGCAGCTACAATATCAGAATTTCCATCAATTATCTTTTGGAGCGTCAAGTTAGAAGTGAAACCAAAACCAGTACTGAATTGTTTAGTGTATAAAGACTTGGGAGTAATTTTTCCTACCTTAATGTAGAAAATATTTAAAAATAACTTGTTTGCTTAGAGCTTAACTCTGCTTGTTTTTATATGTTGTGTTCTAGCTGTTCTTTATAGAGAAATGTTGCCTTTTGTGTAATATTAATATTAGCTGAAGATAATAGCTGTTCTGCTCAGGTGATTGCGCTAACACATTAATAAATCAATAATAAAAATATTGGACACATTTGTTAATAAATATATATTTGGGTTCTAGATTAAACATTTTGAAACCCTAGATATTCACTTATATGAAATTTGTCTATGAAAGTCTATGCACTGCCTAATTTTTGACTTGTGTTCTTGCATATTTTCATGGACTCATTCAAAGCAGATGCTCTGCAACAGATCAAGTGCCATATTTCGTTCTCTCTGTATAAACTTACTTTATTGTCTCTTCCTTATAGTTTTCCAGAATTGAAAGCATAGTTGTTACAGGATTTCTTGCTGTGAAAAAAGTGATTATTCTGTTCAGTTTTCTTACTGTCTTGTTTACAGTGTTTCTTTGGTTTATTCAAGGGCATTGGGAGTTCCAGTGACAGACTACACGTTTGAAGACTGTCAGCTGGCTTTGGCTGAGGGACAGCTTCGTCTACCTTCAGATACATGTCTTTTAGAATTTGCAAAGCTTGTGAGAAGCCTTGGGTGAGCATATACAATATTTATATGTAAGGTGCATCTTTATTATATATATCTGTAGTTTTTACCATCATGTAACAATATTGCATTTATGAGTATAAATGGAGTGTTGTCATCATACAATCAGGGGAACACAAGCGTAAAATTAAAACAGTACTCCACTTGCAAGCAGCGCTCCTGAATCCTAATGAATAGAGTTGGTTGTAAAATTCTTATTTTCCATCTGACAAGTGAGCAGAGTGTGAAGCATTCATTCCTGAGCTAGAAGACAGTTTCTGAAGAGGATCAGGAATACTGTGGGATTCCTAACATTTGATACAGTTGAGAGTCAATTGTCTTTTCCTGTGACATCTGTGGAGGGAAAACAAATGCTGCCAACAGCAATCTTGTGGCTGGATTAACCTTGTAATAGTGAGGACAGAGGGGTCACCCTTTCCTGAGAAGGACAAGGTGGTGGTTGATCTTTTGAGCAGGTCACTGCCAGATGGACTTTCTAATGCAGCTGTAGCTCAGTGCACGCAGCGTGGGTCCTCTCTTCTTTCTTCCCATAGTGCCATTTCCTGCTAGCTCTACCTTTCAAAAAAGCCTCAGCAAACCTGAAAAATTTACATTTTTGCTACATTTTTACATTTACTACAATTTGCATTACTAAACCAAGTAGTAGAACTTGCTGCTGTTTCCCAGTTTTTCTCCTGCTTCTCTGGTGATCTTATTGAGCAACTATGAACTAAATGTACAGCCTCATCCTATTAACTCTCAATATGCAAGACCTTTTTTCATTTTCTTGTCTCATTACTTGAAAGTACAGAGCATAGTCTAATGTTTCCATTGTGTATTTTATTTCCTTTCACTAATTTTTTCCTTCATCTTCAGCTTGTGTACATAAATGAAAATAAAGAAAAAGCTCTGTTGGATAATAAGGAATGTAGGACAGCACACATCATGAATTCAGATGACAAGCATGTACTAATCTATTGTCAGGGCTTCCATCTGAAAAACTTCCATTAGGACAGGAGAGACTTATAGGGGAAAATAAAGATTCTCACTTTGTTTAAAAGGCTCTGAATTTACAGTACTAAGGAAGAAAAACAAGTGAAACAAAACAAACCAACCACCCACGTCTCTTATTATGCAGTTGATAATCCTGGGATTCAGTTTAATCCTCTTGTTAAGTTGTCTGGCTTCTGTCTGCTCAATTTAAAGCTGTTCTTTCAAATTATGCTTTTGTTTTGGCCTCTGAAACAGTTACATGCATATGTGAGGGAGGTTCACTGCAGCCCAGAAGTTCTCTCTCTGGTATGAGCAATTAATCCTTGGCGAAATATAATCCTCTCTGAATTTGGGCATGTGCCAATAAGAAGGATATTATGCTGGTATTTTTCTGGCACAATTGGATGAAGATTGTAATATGACTTCATCTCTAATGCACATTTGATAATAATGTAGTCATTTTGCTGTTTGTTCAAAGGTTTTGAGGTCAGGGAGGCATTAAGATCATCCACTAGCACCCCTAAATAACTGGAAAAGTAAATTTTATCCAATGGATTTTTCATCCAGTCTTAACATTTATTTTTGAGCAATGACATACTTTCAAGGTAAGATCCAGTTTTAAGATTCCTATAGTAAGGCAAATTCAGAGTTCTTTTTGGTTTTGATTTTTTGAAATCAACTTTCACTTCAGTTCGCTCTACTGAAGAGTTACTTCTGTGCACATTGTGTCTACAGGATTCATTATCCTTGTCTGTAAAATTTGCTTAGCCTGTGCTCAGCTGGATGGGATCCAGTCCAGAATCCATGCAGGCACAGCAATGAGTTCTCATGCTTCATCTAAGGAAGAGCTTGGGCTGTACAACTGGCTTGTACCAAACTCTGTGATAAAATGGCTGCTTTATCAATGACATCAATTGATCATAGACTTATCTTCTCAAATTGTGCATTCATTGCTCCTCAAGGAGTCGTGTTTCTCTTCAGTCTGATAGTTTGTCTGACCACCAAGCTAATTGCTAAACTATGTGCAGTCTAAGTTAAAGCTTTTTTTTTTCATACATTGTAAATCCTCTGCTTCATTTGATGACTTATTCTGTAAGTGATGTTCCCACTGTGTAAAGTGAATCTCTATTTTTATTTGAACTGAATCTATTGCCATGTTCTGGACATTGAATCTTGTTTGTATTTTGTGCCTTACTAAAACCTCTTTGAATATCTTCTCCTTCAGGAAGTGTTAATATAGTTAATTAAGTGTAGTCTGTCTTTTTATGAAATACTTCTTATGAGTTGCTTTCGGGTAGTTTCCCGCAAGGAGATCCTTGAGTTGTGGTTTGAATTTATTTGCTCGTATTGTTTCAAGTTTCTGTTTGTTCTAATTGCCAATATTACCTCATCAAGTTGACCATGAGGATCCTTTTAGTCAATGCAGCTGTAAGCTACCAAGATCTGCAAGGATCTCAGGCCTGGTGCCTGTCTATTCTTGCTCAACAGCCTCTACCATCCAGACAACAATGCAGATTTCTGCTCTCCATGTGTGTCTGAAATGGGCCAGACTGTAGGTAGAACTTTGTGTCTCCAGAGTAAAAACCCTCACAGCTAACTACCTGTGCTGTGACTTCAGAGTGCTCAGAGGTCATCTATAACAAGGAAAAAAACCTCTGGAGGGTGTTTACCTTCTGCATTTGTGATAAAAGCAATGCTCTCCAATACAGGAGGTGATCAAGGATCAGGCATGACAGCAAATACCATGGCAGCCCCTGCTTTTGTGGATCAAGGCAGGGTGTGCCAAGAGTATTCAAGAGGGTCAGTTTTGCAGTTTTTCAGTATACATGCTCTATGATGGCAAGAAGTTGCACATAAGTACATCAGCAGACATAAAGTTGAATGTCTTTTCTGGCTTAGGGCATGTTTCTCTGTGCTTGTAGTTTCCAGTAGCTAGCTACAAGATCCAGCTGTTCTTCCAGCTCTCTGAAGGTTTTTGGCAGGTTCCCAGCATGCAAGAAATAAGCTTATTTTCAAATAGTCAAATATAGCTAAAACTAGCATACTTACTAAAAATAGTGATAATTATGCTGTAAAATATTCTACCTTGAGGGATCTGGTTTTCCTTGTGAAGTCTGCTGTGAAAAATCTGATGTTCAGAGCTGTTAATCTTGAAGAATGTCCTTTCCATCTTCATGGACTCAGGAATACTTCCTGTTCTCTTTAGTATGCACTGACTTAAAAAATGAATCAAAACACCACAACAGCAAATAATTTTATATGTCATAAAGCCTAGATCCTGCATGGAAACTATTAAGCCAACAAACATGATTTCATGAGGGAAGACAGTTGTTGTGGGCTTTCTATAATTTATGGCCTCCATTGGGATAAAAGTAACAATTTTAAAGCAGTTGCGACATTCAGACATTTTCACATTGGTTCAGAACTTATTATGAAATTTGCACTTGGCTTCTGAAGAGTTCAGTTTAGCAGCTTATGGTCATCAACATATTAATGACTTCCTGATTTTGAAAGGTTAGAGGGGAAGTGAGCCCACCTTGGATGACCAGAAGCACAATGCTGTCATACTCAAGTTGAAGCAGTTTGCCTCACTGATCCACATACTGCTTTTGAGATTGCCTTACACCTCTTGCTATATTTACAAAACATAAACCACAAGATGCCTGTAAGATTTGTGGTGAGCTGTGTGACTTTCCATACAAGATTTTGCCTTCAAGCTTCTATAACTGTTCAGGCTTAATTACTGGTGAAGAGGAGATCTTGCAACTCTTGAGTGCTACCCACCAAATGAATGCTCCCTCAGTTCTAGGTGAATTTTGAGACAATTAATTGCAAACAAAATCTCTGATTTAGAGACACATGATACACTACATATTCTGCGTCAGTGGGGGCTTATCCCAAGGGAGGATTTAGATGCCAGCTGTCCTTGTGCTACAGTTAAAATCCAGTGCAGCCACTACTCTGGGATGTATTATCAGTGGACACTTCTTGCATATAATCCTGCATGTGAGGAGATGAGTTCTGTGTGCATCTCAAATCCTCTATGGATTTTTTTTTTTGTTATTGTTCCTTCTACTTTTCTACTTGATCGTGGAAAATTAATGCTTGCAGAAGGATGTCTCACTCTTTTTTCATTGTCTAGAGCTAAATCTTGAGATAAGTGCTTTAAAGCTAGGGTAGAGAATTTGTGAATTTTCTGTAGGAGCCATGGGTTTCTGGAAGAATTCTTGCATGTTCAAGTCTTATAATTCAGACATACAGGTCTTGGCACGGTTTAGTTAGTACATATTGGTAAGTCATATAGGTCATGACAAAAACCATGGGAGGTGTATTTTTACTTAAGAGTTGTGATCTTTAGGAAGGGTCACTACAGCAAGCAATCAAGTTCTGGAGCTGATGTATCAGATAATCTTCCTAGCAGAAATGCTCTTATCTTTTTTCAGAAGCTCCTCAGAATGCTGATGTTAAGCATTTTATTCATTCTTGTTGCTGAGAGGAAGCTGCTGAAGAGTCCCAGCTGCAGTCTGGAAACAGTTCTGGTGGAAGCTTCTGAGTTGTATGAATAACTGCTTTTCCTTGTCTGCAGCAGCAAGCAGCAAAACAGGCAACTGCAGAAGGACATTGTAGGAGACTTTACTGGCATCTTTTGTCTTCTGAGTGGAAAGATGCCCAAGTTACCCTGAATCAGTTCAGGGGAGACCTGATCCAGATCTGCTTGATGTTGTATTTGGGGAGAAAGCTGCTTTTCTTTACATGATACCTGCAGCATCATTTATTTTGTTCATAGTAAGATTATTCAGTAGGGCTTTTTTGTTTGGTTGGTTTTGGGGTTGTTTTGTTGTTGTTGTTAGCTTTTTTTTTTTTTTTTTTTTTTTTTTTTTTTTTTTTTTTTTTTTTTGCAGAGCCAAAAGAGTAAGCTTGACTTAGGCAAAAAACCAGCCAACAACCACACAGTAGATATCTAAAAATATAAAGTTGTTCATCCATCAATGTCTGGTTTTGCAATAGGGAAGGACTAAGGAAATTCTGTAGCTGTAGGAACTACAAGAATTTTGTTTGGGTTACCTCATAATGGTGTCCAACTCAAGACTGAATGTGAAAAATGAGGACTGATAAACAGGATTAACAGTATAATCACTATTATGTAATCCCTGATTTATTTTTTTTTTTAGGTAAGATGCATCATGTCCTTCCTGTTCAGTGACATTAGTAAATTTGGAAACATAATTGGTTTATGTTAGTGTCCTACAATACAGCCATTTTCAGGTGACCTAAATTCCACCTAGTTCTCCATGATTGGAATTTATTAGCTAGTTCTAGACTGTGTTTCTTCCTGTTGAACTGCTTGCACATATGGCTTGTCATCAAGGTAGACTAAAGGACATGAGTTTGTCCAAGGTTCTTAAGCCCTTGCAGTAATTCCTGATACAGCTTGAGAACTAATGGGAGCTTTAAAACTACATAAATACATTATTTGATAAAAAAGTTGTGTAATAATTCTGAAACCAGACTTTTTAATGCTTTACACCATAATCATCCATTTTTTCATTTGATATTTTGAAATACATATTGTTAAAACTGGGTTGATTTTTAAAATGTGCAAAAATACTATGCTTTATAGGCTGAAGCCAGAAACACTTGAAGATGATCTTGATAAATATGCTGCCAGTGCCATGAAAATGAAGAATGAAAAAGTTGATCTCAAAGAATTTTCAGCCTACTTGGAATTTCCAGTTTCTCAGACATTGGAAAGTATGTTTGCACTTTTTGATGAGGTAAGAAACATTAAGTTTTAGAATTTTAGCGCTTTTGGTAAACTCCACTTTAGCCTACTTCTGTTTCAATTGAATTCACTGAGGTCTAATTTCTGAGCATTTTACCATAAAATTTTCTTACTGCACTTCCCTTTCAACAAGGTAAGGACACCTATCATCAGCTAAATAAAGCTTTCCTTCAGCTAGAACTTAAAAGGAATATCAGCTGGACAAAAACTTACCTCTTTTCTAGATGGAAAATATGAAGAGGAAGAAAGGTAGGGTCAGGCTAGACCTCTGCTGCTGCTCATAGCAGATGAATGAATGCAGTGTCTGTTAGCTGATATTCATTTACCTTGTATATAAATGACTTGTTCTTCTACGAGCCTGAAACCTGAGGGATCTTGGCAAGTGAGCCAGTTTTTCATTCCTCTGGCAATCAGTCAGAATGGGGAAATGATGATTATCTTTGTGTGGATGAGGTGCTGTCTGGACCAGGAGGTGGATATGTCCACAGTGTTCTCTCTTGGAGCAGATGTCATGTATTCAGGGCTTAAATTAGGGTATGTTGTCCTCTGGTTCTCTGGTTTTTATTTCAGCCCACTGATTCAGATGCTTTAATGGAAAAATCCTAAATATGCAAGTGAGGGGTGACAGTAGTAGTGCTGTCTTTCAAGAATATTTAAACTGTGACTTTTGACTGAGACTGTGAAAAGAATCTGCAGAGCTTTCACCCAGGTTCTTGTCCTCATGTGATTTCATTTCAGTGAGACTGGTTTTTTGGTCATGACAGATGGAATAATCTTTCTGAATATTCTGCATTTTTAGCAACTTAAGTTATTTATGAAAATTCTCAGGCAAAGTGCACTATTTTGATGAAAGGTTTTTCTTCACAGAATGAAAATGGTGTAATTGACATTCGGGAATTTGTCATTGCTCTGTCAGTTGTCTGTAAGCCATCCAAAACTCTGGAAACAATTCAGCTGGCATTTCAGGTAAGCTGCATTTTCTTGGTCTATGTAGTTTACTTATTTTTAGAAATTACTAATACCGGCATTAGACTCAATAGATGTTTCCAAATTTCCTTTTGATACTTGATTACATTTTAAAACAATATTAATGGAAAGTTAGATTAAGAGTTCTTGTTAACAGGGAATACATTGCAAGTGTAAGTTGTGTAAAATTATGGACACTTGCTGTTTGAAATTCTCTGTAAAACTCTGGCAGAATCCTTTTTAGCAAATTAAGTTTCAAACTTCAAGTCCGTTGTACAGATTCCTCTAAACAAACAGTCTGTTGAGTAGTACTTAATACTCTTAGAATGTTTCAATCAAATCTAATTTTTCAAGTTAATAAAATATTTCTTTTTTAATTTCCTACATGTTAATAGAGATTTTTCTGTCTCCTTTCTTCTTCTTTTTAAAATTTTCTTCCCTCTTAGTCTTACCATGTATGTGTGGTGGTTCTGCAGTCTTTGTCCAGACTTGATGCTTCCCAGAAGTGCTCCTGATCTTGCTCTAGCCTCAGTGGTTTGTTGTGGCATCACCATAGATTGTTAGTGCAAGCTTTTTGGGAAAGTGACAGCAGCAATGCTTAACCAATGGATTTCTGACACCTTGATTTATTACTTTTCAATTAATTTCTTTAATATTATGGTTTCAACATGCAAACTCTGCTGCATCCTGCATCATCTTTTCCCTTTGCCTTGAATTCACATGGTCTTCAGTGTTACTGAAACTGAGAAGTGCTAAGTCTTGATGCTGTCTTCACTGCTGAATGCATGGAGCTCAGAGCATTCAGTTGCATGGTGCTACATTGCAACCTTATTTTCTGTGTAGTTATATTCAGGTTCTTCAGCATGATGACTTTAGATAAGTGCTGCTGAAGAAATGAGGCTCCTGTCCTGTGAATGCTTAGTGTCACAGGTATCATTCTTAGCCTTCAGCCAGAATCCAATAAATTTGGCAAAGGAGGATGGAGCAAAAATATTTATTTCCTACAAGTGTTGTGGGAAATCTGCCATTAGTAGCTGCTGTTATTTATTGCTGTTTCTGAGGGAAAAGCAGAAAGAAAAGTCTCTGTCCTGACTCAGTCCATTTCAGCTGTGCAATGGCATAGAAAAATAGGTGCTGTTTGGTCAGCTCTGTATCTTCGTATTAAAATGAACAAATTTGAAGTAAATGTAAAGGGGGATTTGTGGAATTTTTTTTTTTAATTTAGCTGTCATGCTTGATAACATGCAGGATAATTTTATCATTTGAGAGGAAAAAAAGCTCAGATTGGATGGTTATTTTCTTTCTGGAAGCACTTGAAATTAATTAAACTGTGTCTTTGGAAAATTTCTGTTCTTCATTATCTGCTTCACTCCCTGACTCATAATACATAATTTTGAGTCACTTTGTTAATTACAAAATATAAAGTTAGCTGTAAAACTGCAGAGAAGCTTTATGCATGTATTAAGAAGGGGAAGTACTAAGCAAGGGGAAGCAGGTATGGCTCATTTTATCCTGCTAGTGATGATTGGAAGGGTTAAAAAAAGTGTCAAGCTGAGGAAATTTTGCTTCTTCTGGGATTAAAAAATAAGGAAAGTGAACCTTTTTTAATCCTTTTCTACCTCCTGTCCTGACTTCACCTACAATAAGATATTAACACAGTTACCTGGAGCCATTGAAAGACCTCGTTAATTCATGAGTGTATGACTGAGCAGGTGCTGTCCTCTGCCATGTGCTACTTCTTTCAGGAAAAGTGCAACATTTCATATAGCTACAAGTTTTCAAAGTTAGTATTTAGTGTATGACTGAAGAACTTGAAAAATAGTATCATTATATGGAGTTGTTACAAAACTGGGGGGAATGGCAGCTACCCATGAAGGCTGAGCTGCCATTCAGGACCTTGGGAGGCTGGAGAATTGGGTAACGTGAGGTTCAGCAAGGGCCAGTGCAGGGTTCTGAACCTGGGGAGGAAAAACCCCAAGTCCCAGCAGAGTCTGGGCTGTGACCCACTGGAGAGCAGCTCTGCAGAGAAGGACCTGGGGGCCTTGCTGGATGGCAAGCTGGCCATGAGCCAGCAGAGCCCTTGTGGCCAGGAGAGCCAGTGGGATCCTGGGGTGCTTTGGGAAGAGTGTGGCCAGCAGGTCAAGGGAGGTGATCCTGTCCCTCTGCTTGGCTCCAGTGAGGCACGTCTGGAGAGCTGTGTCCAGTTCTGGGCTCCTCAGCACAAGACAAGGAGGTAACGGAGAGGGTCCAGCAGAGGCCACAAAGATGATTTGGGGTCTGGAGCATCTCTCTCATGAGGAGAGACTGAGGGAACTGGGGATGTTTAATTTGGACTAGACAAGACTGAGAGGGGATCTCATTAATACATATAAATATCTCGAAGGTGGGTGTCAGAACAATGGTGCCAAACTCTTTTCAGTGGTGCCCAGTGACAGAATGAGGAGCAGTGGCCATAAACTAAATCACAAGAAGTTCCACCTCAAGATGAAGAAGAACTTATTTATGTTGAGGGTGGCAGAGCACTGGGACAGGCTGCCCAGGGAGGTTGTGAGTCTCCCTTTCTAGAGACATTCCAGACACACCTGGATGCACCCCGGTGTACCCTGCCCTAGGTGACCCTGCCTTGGCAGGAGGTTTGGACTAAGAGCAGCACTCCAGTGTAAGTGCTACACTTTCCCTTCCAAACTGCTAAATAAAGGTAAATCTCGTCAATATTGTTTTTATACTGGCCTCCCAATATTACCTGAACTACTTGTTCTGAAAATGTAGCAGCTTTTATTAAAGAAATGTCTTGGTCTTTGCCCTATTCCTGTGAAACAATGTGCAGGTTAGGTGCCAGAGGGCAAAAGGCAAGATTCCTGATTTGAGCATATGTTTTCATCCATGGAATTTCAATATTTTTATTCCCCTTTTGGGGAGGCAACCCCCTAAGGTGTGCTGTCTTGTGGCAATTGCTTCTGCCTGTGTGAAAAATAGATACTTATGCCTGTTTTGTTCAATCTCATCAGTTTCCACCTTGTCAATGATATAGAGAAATTAAAAGGAAGTTTCCTAAATGGCACTTTTTACATGGTTTGATATTTTCAGTGTTGTCATGCTTGAAAAGGAGAGAGAAATATTTCAAAACCTCATTTCTCTCACCTCACATTGTATAGGCAAATTGAGTTATTTTAAGGAAGCTTAATGAAGCTGTATTTGGTACAGATGTTTTGAAGTATTTAGGTCCATTTCTCAGGGTAAAACACTGTATGTATGCAAAAATGGAATGAGACTATGATCAATTATTCATAATTATCAATCTGTCAGTAATAAAGCTAACTCTTTCTGATATAAGAGTATGCAAATGATTGTTTTCTAGAATAAATGCTTGTAGAAAATTGTGCGTCCATCACTGGTATATGGGGTAGGATTCTCCTGATTAATACCATTTAGATACAGACATTTAATGCAAGCTTGCTCTTGGATTTTGGTCAAAGGAATCTTGAGTTTTACACCTGACCAAGTAGAAATGGTATCTGATTTAGGCTGACCTAAATATATCTCCCAATATTACAGACTATGTAGCTCAATGGACTGAATATTGTTCTCAGTTATATGTTTGCAAAACATGTTAGTGTTTGGCAGTCTTGTTGCTGAGTATCATGGTGATTCCAGTGGTTAGACATGTAAACACAGAACTTTTTTCTGATTATAGCAAGCTTTACTTTCTAAGCATACACATGTGAACTGATGATATTTTTTACCCAGACTAATCTGAAATCCTTGATACATCACATCAGTCTGAGAGTGACTAGAATTTCTAATACCAACTTTTTGATTTGCTTTGCTTCAGTGTAGTGCGTTTTATAGGAGTTGGCATTCAGCTTTGCAATGATTTATCTTGCTGTCTTGATTCATAGCTGTACCAGTCAGAAGGTGGAACTGTAACAGAAGAGGATTTAGCTCATATCCTGAAGACTGCCATGGGTGTGTCACAAATTGATGTTACACATCTTTTTAGAGCTGTAGATGAAGAGGAAAAAGGAAAGATTACATATGGTAAGTATTCTAACGGCATCTGAACTGTCACAAAATGTCCAAGTTGCTTGCATTCATATTGACAGAGCAATTACATTTTTATTAAACTCTACCTTTTTTAATTGGCTTGGTGGCTTCAATACTGACAACAGCACTGCAAATAAAGTAAATTTACATTTTAAAAAATGAGTTTCACCTTTGGTGTCAAATGCCATGTTTGTGTATTTTCAGTTTTCCCCTCCTCATCAAGTCACATAATATGAGGATTAGCTCCTTCAAAGTATTCTGTTCTATGACTTCCATGTATGTGAATGTGTATTTTTAAAGAAACGTGCCTTAGCTCTGTCTTGTTGTTTTGTGTCTGAGAGCAGGAAATGAGGAGGTTAACCAGGCTGCCAATTCTATAGTCTGCAGTGTAGGTGGAATGGAGGCGAGAAAGTTGCATTTGAAAAATTGAGACCTGGGTGAATAGATTGTGCTGGGAGTCAGAGTATTTACATGCTACTTCAGATTATTTATGTTTTATTCAGTAAGGTTCTAAATTTAGTTGTATCATTTGAGTATGAACTGAGTTGTTGATAGCCAACATATTAAGTATCTCCAGTAGAGGTGCTTATGACATACCCTGTTCTAATTGTTTTCCCTCAGGATAATCAGTATGTATTTAATTGGTAAAAATCTTAGAGAATAATATATTTGTGTTAGTAAATCATAGTTTCTACATTAGTAATTCCTCTTTTTCAAGCTTACAATATGTATGTAAAGCTTCAAATACATAAATATTTTAAAGTTACTGAAATCAGTATCAGGAGAGTATTGCCACTGTCCTTTCCTTTTTGTCTGACTGTCTTCTCTCCTTGATTCCTGCTGTACTATCCCTTTGCTTTCTGTGCCTCTCTGTGACATCCCCAGCATTTCCACATCCATCCTGCCCGTTGCCTTTTTCCTGCTTATCACCATTGCTCCTTGTCTTCCAACTCATAATGTGCAGTGACTCAGCTCTTCCCTCCACCTTCCAATCACCAGCTTCAAAAATACCAGCACAAATCTTAAGCTGGTAAGTGCAGCAGAATTTTAATTTTGGCACATTTCATTGTTTGAGGATAGCTAAATTTATAGTCATGTACAAGTGAACTCAGACCAGGTCATGTGAGTTGCCAAAGAATTAATATTTTAACATTAATCTGTAATTGTTGCATTTCATCTGCACTTTTGCCCTAAGTGGTCATCATATGTTCCCATTACAAGAAAATCTGGACCACCAAGCCACAGCAGTGGCCACTGGAGTGCTTGGCCCTCATTTTCACTATTTTATATCGTACAGTCAAGAGTAGTCTTTTGTGATGGAACACAAAGCAGATAGCAGGATGATGTTTACATAATTTCTTTGAAACTTTCCTTAGGGGTTTTGCTGAGAGAAGTGCTCATTTTATAATAGAAACATGTCATTTTAACACATCTGAAAGTTTAATAGTGGGAGTAAATGTCCAAGTTACTAGATTACAGAATTAGAAGTTGCAAATAAACTTTTGGTATTGCATTTCTGTCTTGAGAATTCCTGCTATCAATATTCAACCTCTTGCCTTTCTTGAGAATATGTGGAACCTCACACATGCTCAATTTGTTGCACTTACTTACTAGAACGGAGAGGTGAAAAAACTTGCAGACCACACAGTTCTGAGGATACTGTCCAGACAAGTTCCAAGAAATCAAAGCATTGTATCTGATGGAGCTAATGTTATTTTGGATACACACAGCAGAAGTCTACTGCCAATCTCCTTTCTAGGGTGTTGGAATTTAAAGCAGGAATATTAAGTTGAGCCTTACTTGTAAGAACAAAAGATAAAATACCTGAAGTATCAAACCTAAATTGCTGCATGCACAGCAGTCCTTGAAGACACAAATCTCATCTCAAAGGTAAAGCTCAGGTTGCAAGTAAACAGAATAATCAAGAGCAAAATCGAGGTTGTGAATCTGAACTATTGGAAATCTGAATTTTTGTTGCATGGTTGAAAGCACTCTGGTTGCCAAAGATTTATGTATCAGTTCTCTTATACAGTGTGCAGTTGGCTTAGTTGTTCAGTTGCACTTTCGTTGTGGTGCTTTTCCTTTTAGTCTAATATAGACAGAGGCAAGATTTATCAGTCTTACGACATGATTCTGGAGAGTTTGAGTAGGTTCTCTAGGAGGGCGTGTCAAATTGTAGGAAACCCTCCACCAGCTCTTGATAGACAATTCAGACTGTGAACGTGTTCTGATGACTGCCTGGCTTGCTGTAACCAGAAAAAAGGGAGAATTGGCCATATTCGGAGTATATGTATGGATAAGGAATCAGGGAAGGAAAAATTATTTGCTTAAAATAATTATATATTAACCACAGGATTATAATGTTATTTAGCTTAGTGGAAACAAAAACTAGAGAAGATTAATGAGCACAGAGCTTCCAGGAGGAATATCAAGTGGTAGGGTAGGTGTTTCAAGGGTAGGAGAAAAACCTCTTGAAGTTCTTATAGTACATGTGCAGACTTAATGCAAAGACACAGACATGAATCTTAACTCCGCTTTGGGTTCTTTATTTGTCTCTTTGTTTTTAATGGAGGTGGGAAGCAAAATCACCTTCTTTCCCCAAATTAATGACTGAGGTGACCTTTTCCTTCAGTCTAATGCTTCACAGTTGCTTTCAGTTTGAACTCCAAGATGAGACCTGTGATTAGATGCTGGAATAGTTGGTTCTTTCTACATGACCTTGTTTCACGTTTCTGATGAATAAGGCAAATGGGATTCCAAGCACTTTTCATTGCACTCTGCTGAGTACAACTTCAATAAGTATTCCTTAATGCTTTCAATACTTATTTCAGCAGGACCCAAAATGTCGGCTTACTGAGATGTATCCAAAATGTTACTCTGTTCAATTTGGATTGCCCTTTCCTCATGAAGACTATAATTTATATGATCCATCAGCCTGTTGTGTGTAGAGTTTTTCAACATAGATGGTAATGTTGGTTTTCATGACCTAAACTTCATCAACTTTTGTTGAAGTTACAGGTCCAGAATGCTCTAGATCCATATAGACTGTAGATAAAGGATACCCACTTTTTTGTGAGTGAAAGGATAAAGTTGTGTTTATTGCCTTCTCCTCACCTCTCCCTTTGCAACAGTTCAGAGGCAGGGTTGCCCTACAACTTCAGTGCCCCTGTGAGCCATGTAGCATTCCCTTGCTCCCTTGCCCTTTGCAGTATTGAAAAATCATGTCATCTCAAAAAGTGGCAGAGAGGGAAAGCTGCAGTGTTTGCCTTCTTCCATACCAGCCCAAGTTGTAGGAGGAACTGGGCTTCACTCCTTTTGGTGTCATCTGCTCTGCACACCAGGGAATTCACATCATCATCTGGTCATGAGCTCTTCTGGGATAGCACAGTGAATTGGAGTGGGAGGTGTGTGATACACTGTAGGTGACTGAATTAGTGAAAACATTCACATGCAGATTTTTCTAGTGTCAGTTTACATTATAAGAATAGTTTCTTGTTGCTTGATTCCTGTGCAGTAGCTGTGTTCAGATCACGTCTGAATAAAGTCACATAGGCAAATTGAGACAAAGTTTCAGTGTCTGATTCTCAACACAGAATGTTACTTGTTGATGTTAAAGATTCCCCACTCCACCAAGAACTAATCTGGCTTTTCTTATTATTGTGTTATTATCTAATATTAAATTCAGGAGCTCTTTCCTGTGTTATAAATTATCTCCTCAATATTATTCTCTAAAATATTGGGACTTGTAAAATGCTGAAATCTTGAAAGCAGAAGGCAGCAGTGACAGCTGCTGTTAGGTTGAAGCAAACTATGAGTGCAAAGCATTAAAGGGCATGTTTGCAAAAGAGTTTTAAGAATTTAAGAAATGACTGCTCTTGATGTTCAGTGATCTTCAGCTGGAGGGCTTCTGTACTTCCCCAGTGAATAGTGAAATGCTATGTCAGGGCATGTGGTGCTCATCATGCATTTTAATACAAATCTGAGTCTGTTTACCCCTTCATACAGCTAAGCCTGAAGTGTTTTCAGAGAGCTTAGATAACTCTTTGCAGCATCTCAGCTCTGCAGATGTGATAAAGTTAGGCTGAAAGCTAAAACAAGCACTGGGGATAGCATTATGTTAACTGCTGCTATTTTCCTCCAAAGAAATCATGTGATTATATATGTGTAAGTATTCAAATTTAGCATCCTTCTGTTTCAAAGAGCTGATTCTGTGCAACAACTATTTTTTTTTTAGATGACTTCTACACATTTGCTGTGTTGCACCCACACTTTGCAGAGGAATATCTCTATGCTGATCAGATGGGAGCTGAGAGCGGCTTGAAGACTTCATCTCTTTCTGCTCCTAATGGTATCTGTACTGACTTCAGCCCTGACAGCGCTGGAGATAGAAGGAGGCCCTTGCAGAAGAAACTGAATTAACACTACAACTCTTACCTTCCTCTCCTGGTGAGAGGGTTGTATTTTCTTGGGATTTTCATAAGTCACTCCAATTATACAGCAAATACCAGTTTTGTGTGTGAAAGTTCTACCTGAATACCATCCTTTGAATCATATGTGTTATGTTTAACAACATGTTCCAGGTTACTTTGGGAAAGGTGTTTTTTATTTTTTTTTTAAAGGTCTTTGAAAGGCAAAAATGTGAATGTGCTTCATTATTAATGTTCATATTTAAAAGGAAGCGGCACAACTTATTTATATTCCATTGGCTAGTTCCATGTACCGAGTGTCGCACAAACTGTGCATGTATAAAGAAAATGTAGCTACTATGGTGTAAAGTGCACTTTGGTGATTAGTGTTTTCCCTAGTTATGGGGATGTTTATTTGGGGCCAAACTTTGCTGTCCATATCTGAATAGTCAGTCTTGTTGATTTTGGTGGGAATTATTCTCCTGAGTAAGGCAAGCATACTTTGGCCCTTTGTTTTGGTTTCAGTGAACAGTTTGGAAACAGTAATACAAAAACTTGCTAAGGATTCCTTTTTTATTTTTATTGCTGAATGACAAAATTGTTTCTCTTTCCATGGTAGAATGAAAAGGAGAGGCTCCTTATCCCTCACCCCAGCACTTTTCTACTGTAATCTTCCGGATGCAATTAAACATGAATTCTTTCCAAACTGACATGCCACATACTGTTTGAAAATACATAACTGAACTGTTTGTGCTTTTCTCTCATAACCAATCCAAATCACATCCACACAGCATTTTATGGGAGATGCATACAGAGCTATATTTTATTGAGATTTATCAGGAATCACAGGTTTCTTTTGTAGCAAGCCTATACAGATAACATAGCATGGAGTACATCATGGAAACTTTGGTGTATCAGCACAAGTTGGAAAAGGTTGCAGTAACTTCAGAGACCAAGCCAGCAGCAAGTTGCAGAACATCCTGAAGAAGTGCTAGTTAAATCTCTATAGCAACATTACATATATTTCATAGAATGTATGTGAAGCTTAGAATAGTTTAGAACTGTTTAAAACAACCACCACACTTGTATTAGTAATACATATGTTTCCTTTTGTAAAGCCAGATGCCTTAACTGCTACTGGAGGTCTCAGAGAAAAATCTAGATTATTATAAAACCACAAAGCTTCATTGATTAGGAAATGTGACTGAAGGCTCAAGGAGTAAGAGGAGGGAGGACTCTGGCACAAAATAACTGTGATGGCAACTCTGCTTCCAAACAAAAAAATCTTTTAAGTCATTTCTGACCAGTTTTGTAGGGTTTTGTGCATGGAAAACTATTGAGACTAGAGTCTTCCACGAAGGAATTTAAAACTAGATGTGAAATGGAAGAATTTTAGCAAAGGATGTCTGTTCGTACCAAATGCTTTTATAGCTATTTTTTAAATAGCAGGTGTTTTAAAGCTCATTAGGGTATTGGAATGTGTCCTTAGAAATCCTCCACTGTATGTGGCAGGTCTCCAAACTGGAACTGGCTTTAATGAAGAGGGTAAAAGGAAAAAAAATTGAAGAAAATATGCTTTATGGGGGTATGTGGAGGTAATAATTAAATTTTTGATTTATCCAGGTAGCAAAAGCCAAGCTCACAGGGCAGCAACAGACTCACTGGCAAGATTTGAATTAAAATTCATCATGAAAAATAGGAGAAATTGATTGGAAAAAATAAGGTGTATGAGAAACTACACTTAAGTAGGAATAGTCAGCTGCACAGAGGAGGAGTGAGTATTACTGTGCTATATCTGGAGGCAAGGATGGCACAGAATATGTCAAACTTAGCACTGTTAACTCTTTGCTGCAGAAAAGATGCTCGTGATGGAGGGGTGCATCAGCATATGGCCTGTGAGAAGCAGGGTGGTATTTCTTTTTTACCAAGATGTGATAAGGTCTTACCTGAGGTACCTGTTCATATTGGGGCACCTGAGAGAGATGGGCTGTAAATTAATAAAGTCTGGAGGACAGAAAGTACTCAAAAAGAGATCTGAAGTACCCTTTAATCCAAAGAAGAGGAGACTGAAGGAAGAATGTGAACAGTCTTTGAATATGGAAAAAGTTGTTATAGAGGAAATAGGAACACTGTTCTCCACAAGGATGGTAGATGCTAGCTATGAATTGAAGAGACAAGCATTAGGAAAAGTCTCTTACAATATGCCTTATTAAGCCAAGGAGAAGGGTTTCAGGTGGGGTGAACAGCTTGCCTTCCTTCACTGGAGGAAGGAAGTTTTTGAAACTGGAGTTTTGAAAACAGAAAAGACAGAGAACTCCAGTAGAGGCACTTGATTTTGCTGGTGATGTCCCAGGGTTACAGGGAGATGTCCCTGAGGTCTGTTTTCTGTAGTTACACATTATGTAAGGGAAGGCAGGTGTAGTCTGGACATATTGTATCTCTACAAGACTATAGCACGTGGCTCAAGCTGGCTAAGGTAGTTATCTTTTCCTTTGTATGTGAGCTTGGAAATGTGAGAATTTCAGAATGCGGGGAATGAGAGTTCCCCAACATGTGTCTGGAAAGAAGAAAGAGGTAAGCTTAGAATCCTGTGGACAACTCTGAAGTGAGAGAAGCTCCAAAGAAAGAGATCCATTGACCACATCTGTGAAAGAGCAAAGAAAGCTGATTGAAGTTGGCTAAATACAAGTGTGTCTAATTTGCATGTATGGTGTGAGTGACTCGAGGATTCTGTTTGATGAAAACCCATAGGTTCATTGACTTCTTTTTTTTATTTTTATTTGTGAGGTGTTTTGTAATTGTGGTGAGTGCAATAGCTGTACTTGTCTGCAGTACAGCTGTAAGAGTGCCGTGAAGGGCACTGCAGCCTGTAGCTGATGGGCCCTTGAACAGGCTCCCCAAAGAGGCACTGAAAGTCCCATGCACCAGTGAGCTCAGTCCAGAGCTCCTGCTGGAGAAGGCTGTGACCAACACAAGGCACAAGCAAGTATTCTTGGTGGATTAAAACTCATTTAAAAATTGGTGGATTAAATCATTAAAAAGAAAAAGGCATAAGACAAAATAACAGATTCTGGAAGGAAATGTGAATCTCCCTCTTCTGAGAAATTACTGAATGAGATAAAGACATAATAGGAGGAATGATAGGATGAGGGATCAGCCTGCATGGAAACATTGTTAGATCACAAATCAGGTCACAAAAGTTGAGATTAATTAATATAATTCCATTAATTTGTAGTATATCATATTAGACTGCCTTGCAGTGAGAGGGAAGCCACATCACTGCAGGATGGTGAACGCAGGCTCTTGAGGGCAGAGGCCTGTAACACATCACATGACTGCAGCCATGCTCTTGTTACAGCTCATCCATCAAACCCCAGCTGCAGAAGTGTTTCAGTAGTTCCTGATGAAAAGCCCTTTTAGCGGCATCGACTGTGGAGCAGCTGGATTGTGACAGTCAAGTTTCAGTGACCTGATGCAGAGTCAGAGTAGAAGTGAAAACTTCCTTTCCCCTTCACCAAACACTGACATGTAAATGCTTTCCATTTAAATATTACTGATTTTACAGGCAGATTGGTATATTTTAACAGGTACTATCAATACCCCCTGAATTTACAAGAGGACATAAGCAGACTTAGCAACTATTTAACTTAAATGATCCTTACACAAAAAATGCAGTGATGTGAAGGCATTTCACATTTCTGATGAGCATTTTTGTACTCTTATGTAATACTGCCATCCCTTGCCAGTAGAGTTCTTGCATCAGCCTGAATTTTTACATACTGTAAGAGATACCCAGCCAAGGCTCTGGGTATCTCTTCTCATATGCCTGAACAAGTATTAAAAGTTACCCAGAAAACCACCAAATCCAAAATATCTGAAGTTTGGGGGGGCGTTGTTTGTTTTTTTGTTGTTTGTCTATTTTTTCATACATAATGGAACCCTATTAAAACCAAACAAATGCCTGTTAGGTGCAAATCATGTTTAAACCGCTGTCTCTTGCACAGTATGGCAAGTGTTATTACAGATTTTTTGGGGTGTCTGTTGCTGTAACAGATAAATTTAAAAAGCTTCATAGGAAATTTATAAGCCTGATGGAGAAACTAGGCTGTACTCTTAGTTTTATCTTAATTAATTACTCTATATGTTTCAGATGCATTTATTGTAGCTAGAATGATCTAGGTGTGATAAATAGCAACCAGACGTGTGTGAGTGTCTGCTAATCCCATTTTCAAGGTATAAATCCTTAGGTCACAGGGGTTGAAAAGGACACGTGTGCAGTGAGGAAGTGATGCAACCTCTTTAGTGACACAGCTGTCAGAAAGTAAACAGCTAAGTGTCACACAGAGCTCTTTATTAATATCTTTGTACAAGCTGAATAACTTTGTTAGCTAGTTTAGGCATTGGGCTGGTTGGAGTATTTTTGTATTCACAAAACACAGTAAACTTTTTCCTGTAAAAGTCATTGCTGCACTTCAACATCTGATAAGTTTATAAAGCAGGTGTGATGTTATATATTTATGAGTTCCCTGATAAGTTTATCTTTGGTATTGCCAGTAAATTATTCTTCTTATTTTTATATTACCATGTGGTAACTATAGCTTCTCATATTAACTGTTTTAGTCACCTTCTGCTCTCTGCTCCTTCAATAATAGCATCCTCATAAAAGGACAAATTACAAAAAAAAAAACCACCTGCCATGACTTAAAAAATACTAGTTGCAGAACTCCAGTAGCATGTGCTGTAGATCCTGTGATCTCAGAAAAAACCTGTAAGCACAGCTTTGCATATGTTATGGGACTAAACTAGGCTGGAGAGAAAACAAAATTCTGGTTTAAAGTTCTGACAAACAAAGTTCAATTTTTCTTTAGCTCAGAATGTGGATCATAATACTTTCTGAAATGTTGCACTTTACCTAATGTGAACCCTCTGGTTTTTTCACTAGAAGAGCTTTCATGAGTGTTCTAGAAACAGGAAATTACAAATGCACTAGCCAAGAGTTCTACATTAGCAAAATTCAAATTTGGCTCCTAAAGCTATATTGAGGCACAGAAGTTCCCTGTGAATCAGGCATTTCAAGTAGTTGGCTGCTTTTCAGGTATCTGAACCTCAGCTGATTAGGAAGACTTGAATTAACAAATTATTCTGAATAAATCGCTACAAAAAAAGCCCCAGAAGAATAGAAAATGGAAGTAAGTGTTGTCATCAGTGCCATTGGTAATTAGTTACTAATTAATTAAATTATTAATTGATCAGCTCAGCAAAACTGCAAGATCTGTTTCACATATGAGCAAGAAGGCTTACATTCAGGTACTTTTGCTGTCCTGACTAGGTAGAATTTAAGCCAGGTGGTCTTTACTCAGAGGGTGACTTCTTGAAGGTACTGCAACATCCCAGTAATGTCTTGGTCACTGACAGTGGAGATTTCATCTTCTCACCCTGCCTTTTTTTCTTTGAATTATGGAGAAAAGTATTCAAAACATGACAGGAACCCTGTAGGATCTTCTTACAGGTAAAAACCCTCCAGCACCACCTCAGAGATACAAAGATGATAGTTTTGTGGAATAGTTATGGTGGTGAACTGGATATACAGTGCTGGTCACCAAGACCTTGTGGTCAAACCATGTCTAAATGATAATCCTGAGTTAAAACTACTGAGAACACAGCAGCAAACAGGACATCCTTTAGATGTGTTTGCTATTGGGTCTGTGACTATTTCCTGCGTCTCAAGTGCTCAAGTTGAGAGAGTTTCTTTCTCTGGGAAACATTTCAGGTTCTTTCAAGATACTAACTACTTGGACTACTTCAAGTGAAAGTGATTTGTTTTGTAGATAGTAGCTTCTTTTTCCCCAGATGGTGTGACGTGCTTTATCATGTGTAACGTGATTAAACTGAGGTGGGTGATACCAAGAGAGCAGAAGATATAAGAGGCTTATAAAATAGAGGATTTATGTTTCTGTGAGATATGCTGACACATTTCTGCGCAGTAGTTGACACTGCCTAGATTGTCTTGCAAGTCCATTATGCAAAATACTTTTACTAGTTGTGTGGTGGCAGTGGCTGTTTATTCCACTTTCCTTAGCAGGGTGGCAGAGCAGAATACTCCTGTGCAGACTAACTTTGGGCTAGAGATGTATTTGCAGTTTTTACATGATCAGTGTCTGGGAACAGAAACAGTAGAATCACCTTAGCACTGATTGTACCTCAGTTATTCCTGTTACATAACTTAGCTCTTTGGGATATTTTTTTATTATCACAGTTATCATGCTTTATTCTGAGCTAAGTTGAACAGAGCCATATGAACATCAGAGCTCACTTGAGATAGCTTGGGGATCTCAAAAAAGGTGCTGTATGATAATCTGTTGGTAGGGTGTTACATTTCAGTTTTTTCATTTTGACCAAAAATGTCAGAAGCAAGGGAAAGAAGTGATGACTTCTGTAATACTCTATTTTTATACTGTCAATGGGGTGTTATTTAAGAGTGCCAGTTCTGAGCCAAAGTCAGCTGAAAAAAAATCAGGCTGAACTCCTGATTCCAAACCAGCAAGTAGAAAATCCCATCCGTGCCCAGCATGGCAGCTGGCCTTTTCCCACAGTAAAGAAGGATCTTTTCTGCCTCTTGGGCTGGTGAATTCAGTTTACTGTATCCCTAGTTCTTGCTTGTGCTGTCTGTTCTTTGTTGGTTTGTTGCAGCCAGAGGGAGACCCTGCTGCCTCCTAAGCTGAAGTGACATTCATGGACTTTTCTCCCTGAGCCGGCAGCAGCAGGTGAATATTTGAGTCCTGTTCTGGTATTGCTACCCAAAACTAAACTATTTTGTGCCTGCCATTAGGTACAGAACTGCTTTTTCTTTTTATACACTTCAGCCATTGCAGGTGTGTCCAGGTGACAGCAG